AGAACTCACTCTATCTCCATGTTCAGAAGCTCCACCAATGCATTGAACGTGCCCACCTCCAGGAGCAGAAAGATGTTGTAGCGCATCCAGGACTGCACCTCTGCCTCCGAGCTGCACTCTCCAAACGTGCCTGCAAACACAGGCATAGCTCGCGGGGGGCCCTCCCAGGATTGTACTGGACGGCATCACTGAAAGCTGCTGCAGGGTGCCTGGGGGGCCCGCTCAGTACCTTGGGCAACATAGAGAATTGCTCGAGCCACCTTGAGTCTTTTCTCCCTGGCAGTGACTTCCAGGCCATCCAGGAGCCTCATGGCATGGGTACGGTGCTGGTTGGTATCCAGCTCGGTCCATTTCTTATCTGTTACTGTGGGGCAAGAGACCAGGTGCACTTGAGCCCAGAAAAATCCTCACGATGGAATGAACCTATGTTAACTCACCACATTCAAGACTGTCACAAGGCCAGAACACTCAGAGAGAGAAGTTAACTCTCTAGGTAAGGCAGAAGGTCATGTACTGCTCTACAAATTTCCAGACTAAAACACTGCTGTTTTTTGATGCAATTTTAATCACATAAGGCTTTTCCCCCCAGTACTCACACTCTGCAAAGCCACCATCAGAACACCAGCAAGCCCACCCTAACGGTCACATGGGGCCTGGCACAATCATGGTTTGGCAGGTTTCTTGGGCCAGTCCAGGATGACTCAAGTCACTTAGATGACTAAGAGAAGCCCTGCAGCTCTCAGGATGCTGGGTCAAAGAAACCAAGAAGTGTGGGGAATCATCTCACCATGGATCCGGAAGTCCTCCTCAAAGCATTTTCGATTCATCAGGAATTCTGGCCCTTCTGTGTAGCTGTAAAGCTCTATCAAGAACAAAGTCTCATCAGCTCCATGTCCACATGCCACAGCAGGTCTTGTCCGTAGCAGAGACTATAAGGCATTTGCCTCTAGGCTCTACTCTCTCCCTGAGTCACAGTGACTCTTGGACTATCCAGTTACTAAGGGGGTCTTAGTGCTCTGACGTGCACAATGGAGAGAATGTGGACTCCCCTTGCAGCACACAATCAGAATGCTGGTTACACAAAAGTCCAGGCATTTCCAGTCTGGTGCACATCAATCCCACCATGCCACGCAAGGCGGACTGCCGCCACGGACATGTGTCTCTCAAGTGGCCATGATCTCCTAACTAGGACCTGTACTGTGGAGGCCTGAGAAGCAGCTCAGGCTAGCCTAACGTTACATGTGAGTAGCAGTGGCAGCAACACATGTGCAGACGCAGACACACCTGTTGGCGGACCTCATGCACGACCTACTGCTCTAGGAGAAACCACTGTCAGGCAGATAGCATATGGCCCAGGAGAACCACTGTCTGAGACTGGGCCACAGCCAGCTTAGCTGACCACAGCAGAGGGGCTTTACCAAAGCAAAGGAAAAACCAAAGTTATGAGATACGTATAGCTGGAACCCCATAATTAACACGTATGTGTGTATATATATATATATATGTGTGTGTGTGTGTATATGTGTATATATATATATATTCAAGTTTATACAACTGATATATATGTATATATATCACTAGGTAACCAAAGGAAAAAATGAACTCCAAAATGACATTCATTCTTAATTTTATTAAAGACCAATACAGAAAAAAAATCCTAAATAATAAGAATGTCTGTGCTTTACCCGAGAGCTCTGCAGCCCACTTGTCTGTGTCAGCATATTCAAACTCGAGATCTGGCGACTCGGAATAGCCCTGAGGAGGAGAGGAGACAGTAATGCAAAAGACCACAGTAAATGTTTTCTGAAGGAGGAAATAATATGCGTCCAGAGACACTGCTGTGTTACAAGACACCACTGCCTCCAATTTGCTGGGGTTTTATCACATTTTGTCTCTGGAGCTAGCTCAGGTTTCCCTATTGGGCCCTTGCAGAGCACCTTCCACTTTCCCTTAAGAGCACAACTTCTAATTATATGCCAGCATGTGTATTGGTTTTGCGTCTGTCTCTCCACAATATTCAAGTTCCATTCCTTGAGAAGGAGAACTTTGTCCACTCTGTTCACCAGTGACTTCACAATGCCCAGCATACTACCTTGCCTGAATGAATGAATGAATGAATGAAGTTTTTTTTTTTAAGATTTTATTTATTTGACAGAAATCACAAGTAGGCAGAGAGGCAGGCAGAAGTGGGGGGGGGGCAGACTCCCTGCTGAGCAGAGAGCCAGAAGTGGGGCTCGATCCCAGGACTCTGGGATCGTGACCTGAGCCGAAGGCAGAGGCTTAACCCACTGAGCCACCCAGGCGCCCCGAATGAAGAGTTTATAGTCAAATAAATTCTTGTGAGATAAATGAACACAGAACTTCTAAGCATCCTGTGCAGTGAATGACCCCTTCCATACAATGCTAAGATTCCGGAAGCCTCGCTTCTTTCTGGCTAGTAGTAGGCCATCGACAGCTCAGGACAAAATGAGTATTGATACCCTCAGTTTTCATACTCTTTTCTCAAATTTCAGTGAAAACTGACAGACAGAGAAGGCGCAGTCTAACAGAATGGTTTCCCTCCCACACACACAGGAGAGAATGTGACAGAGAATCTTTTCACTGGTGGGGATAGGTGATCACTGAGAACACACCTTGTGCTGGGAAGAGAGAAGAGGTGACAAAGTAGGTAAAGTCTTCAGGCCTAATTATAAGCTACTTAGGAAGACAAAGACCACCCACAGAATGACATAACAAACCCAGACACTGAAAAACATGAAGAACTCTACTCTGTCAGAGGCAAGAGACTGCACACTTTCACAAGTTCCTGAACTTCAGTTCATTTATGGAATGGGGATGACAAAAATCTATCTTGAAGGTTTTTAAGGACTAATCAAAATTATTTAGCACACAGTGGGCTCTCATCAAGTGATGTCCTCCCTGTCCTCCAGGCATTGCTCAGGCTCCCAGGCTACTGATTCCAGCTTTGACCCAAGAGCTGAGTGCAGCACAGACATCTCTTAAGAAAATAAACTGAAACAGATCTCTCAGTTTAAGTGTTCACTGGCTGGCCTTCCACGTATTGAGTCTATATGGAAATTAAAGGATAGAAGGAGAAATTCAAATGCATCAAAGGGTATTTATTTGATCTTTCAAGACAACCTAGAAAAATCTTAAACTGTAACTCCTCTCCTGATAAGGGTGGGCTCACCCCCACCACTTTCATAATCCTCCATCACCCCACCAGGCAAAGGCTCCTAAAAAGTCAGCTTCACTGCTTTTTCAAATAATTCCCATCAAGCTCAGTGCACCTCTATTTTGGACTTGCCAAATTTTGACACGCTTTGCCAGAGATTTGTACTTGACAACAAAATACAAAAGCTTGAGAGGAACTGATTTCACTTATCTTCAGCCTTTGGTATGACCTGGTATACTGCGTCTGGACAAAGGAATTCCCTCTCAGTAATAAGAGCTTCACTGCTGATCAGCCTCTGAGTGCTCTCGTAAAGACGACCTCACAGTAAATACTCTGGGAACGTACTGATTAAGAAGCCCTAAAATGCTGCGACGTGCGTGTCTTCATTCATGAAATCTACATTGGGAGGGAGTGGGAGGAATTCTTTAACTCGGGGTGAGGTGACTAGTCAGCTTCAGACTACGGTGTCTCCGGAACCGGAGGAATAGCCCACTAGCAAGAAAGGGATTGCTGAGCCCTAATGCCTGTTTACAATGTATATTTGTGATCGTTAACACTTCGGCATCTGGCGCACTAGGCACTGTGAAACTGCGGCCTGGACCTGTAAATACCTAAGGTCAGACCGAACTGGGAATGTTACCTCCGCCTACTTACTCTCAAATCTCCGGGCGAGTAGTACTATTAGCGATAATTAACTCCGTCCGGCTTCCAGCTCCCTTCCCTGCCCACACACACCGCCCACCGCACGCTGCGGAGCCCACAGGACCAGGCGACACAGATGATTAGGGGTCTGGGTGCAGCCGCCCGCCCCCTGGAGCGCACTCACTCCAGTAGACCACTGACTCCTCACCCCCGAACTGGGACCGGGTGCGGCTTCCCCAGGGGCTGGGGCCTGGAGGCCGCACCCTTAGCCCCGGCCCCAAAGAAGCAAACGAGGAGTCGCTGGCTCCGGGAGGTTCTGGCTAACGACGGAGCTCGGGGATGGGACCCCGGCTTCACGCCCCCGGCCCCAGGGGTGCCAATCTTGCTTCCTGCTCCTTTCACTGTAGAATGACAACTCTCCCACCCGGCTCTCTCCAACCCTCCGGAAGCCCAGCTGAAACCCGAAAGCAGCCCCGGGCCCGGGTCCCCCGCCGTCACCCGCCCGGTGCTACACTCGCCCCCCGAAGCTCCTTACCTCCGAGTCTTTGCGCTGGTTGCGGTTGAACTCTCGGGCTTTCCCCCCGGGCAGGAGGCCCCCGCCGGCCCGCGGGGCTCCGGGTGGAGGCTGCGCGGTTGCCGGTGGCGGAGGTGGTGGCGGCTGAGGCTGTTTGTTGTTCATGATCAGCGGGCCGGGACCGCCGGCTGCCGGCTCCATCTTGGCTGCTCCACACCCCCAGCTCAATTCACGGACTGTAGCCGTGATGCAACTCTCGCGTGATTTCGTCCAGGAACCCTCCCTGGGGTCGCCATATTAGGTGTGGCGGCAAGTGCTGGAAGCCATCTTGGCTGCCCAGCACCTCGCGAGATTGCTTCTGCCGGGACTCTTCCTTTCTCTGTCCTTTTGGTTTTCACCCCTTTTCAGTACTTGTTTAGGTGCAGTTTGATCTGTGAGTACTCCCATAGCTCCTTAGGTCAGTTTAGTTGCCCCCACCTTGCTTTAATATGGCTTTGCACTTGTCAGTGTTCTAGCTCTGTTCAAAGCTTAAGGGGATATAACAGTTAACACATGGACACGATCCCAGCCTTCACGGAGTTTATGCTCACATGGGGGAGTTAACGCTAAACAAATGGATAAATCAGTAAAACAATTAGAGTTGTGACAATGCATTCATCATTCAACAAACAATAAATGTCTCTGTGCTTCCAGGCAGTGCGAATGAATGGGGAACAAATCAAGTTCCTGCGCTAATGGTACCTAACAGAGTACCGAGTGGGGGAGAGACGCGATGAGCGATACGCTATTAGAGAAATAAGTGTTGAGAAGAAACAAAAAGAAGTGTAAGGGATTAGGAAGTGGCAGTGGTGATGGGACGCGTGGCTGTTAGGTCGGGTGCCCAGGGAGGCGAGCCTGAGAGTACGATTTTAAATGAGTTCTGAAGAAGTGAGAATCCTGCAAACTGCCAATGAGCAGCTTAAGCAAAGGGACCTGAAGTCGGTTGGCAGGTGAGTGAGCCAGGGAAAGAACAGGAAGAGGTTAGGGCTAGATCATCCCCCAGACAAATAAATTTAGATCCGTGAAGGGCATGAAAAAAAAAATTGGAATTTTATTCTTAGTGAAAAAGAAAACCATCAGAGGGTGTTAACCCAGGGGCTGACATGGTCTGATGTTTACAAGACCATTGTGACTGTGTTTTGGAGAAGGGATTGTTGAGTTGAGAGTGGAAGAGGGTAGGCAGGTTAGGACACTTCATGGTACAATGACGATGCTTGCACCAGGATGGAGTTAAGACATTTCTATATCGTGTAGGTAGATTCAACAGGATTTAGTGAAAGGCTGGAATCCTCCTGGCAGAATAGAGTGGAGTAGATTTTGGCTGGAGCAACTAGATGAGTGGTTGTATTGCTTATTAAAATAGGGAAATCTGGGAGAAAGAAAAACAGGTTTAGGAAGAAGATCAAGATTTCTGTTTTGAGATGCCCATTAAACTTCTTAGAGGTAATGTTTGATAATTACCTGTTACTATACTTTGAAGTCCTTAAAGACATTTCCTCCATCTTTGTCTCTCCAGAGTTCCATCTTGGCTACTCCAGCTCAATTCTCAGAAAGTCCCAATGAGGCAACTTTGGCGAAATTTCCATCATCCAACCAGTAAGTGCTTTAAAAGTATTTGTTGTAAACTAATGAACAAATCTAAAGCCACTATGTTGCTACTTACTCCTACTGATGTTCCTGTCCTTTGCCCATTTCTTCTCAAATCCAGTAGTATACTTTGTCAATTAGCATTTCATCCAAGCTGGGCAAGGCCAAGGTGATAGGAAAAACTAAGGAATTTTCAAGAAAAGGACTAATGCGGCAAGTCTTCTTGGATAAAACCAGCAGGTCCCACAAAACCCAAAACATAACACCTCTCTAGTTTTGCTTACCAGTTTGGCCAAGTTCTTAGACTGCCCTACCACAGCTCTTATCACCTGGGGGAGTTGAGGTGGGGGCAGAATAGAGCTTTAAGTACCCTGTACTGTTTCATCTACATTCAGGATAGGGAGGACTTAAGGTTTTAGTTCAGTAATTCCACTTCTAGTAATAGATCCTAAAGAAACAAAGACTTAGATAAAGATATATGTATGATAATGCCAGGGGTATTTTCAATTGTGTAAAGTTGGAACCAACCTGATTTGAGGAATAGCCAAGAAAATAACTAACAAAAAATGGGGACATGGATAAAATTGAATATGCAGAAGCCAGGAATATTTGTGTTTAATATTAAAAGAATTTTTAGTGACACTTTGGTGAATGGTTAAGACTTCCTTCTTTCCTCATCTGTAAAATGATGATAATCCCATCTGTCTTATGAGGCTATAGATCGAATGAACTCATTTATGTGAAATCATTTTGAAAACTATGAAGCATTTTGTTTTGTTTTGTTTTGTTTTTATAAAGGGTTTTTTTAAAAAAGAATTTTGGGGCACCTGGGTGGCTCGGTTGGTTAAGGGTCTGCCTTCGGTTGAGGTCGTGAGCTCAGGGTCCTTGGACTGAACCCCATGTCAGGCTCCCTTCTCAGTGGGGAGTCTGCTGCTCCCTCTCCCTCTGCCCCCCCACCCCTCCCCCTGCCCAAACTCACTCTCTCTGTCTCTGCCTTTGTTTTTCTTTCAAATAAATAAATAAATAAAATCTTTAAAAGAAAAAGAAAGAATATTATGGCCAAGAGGTGAAGCCTAAGGTGAGAAGGCACTTCTTTCACCACAAGTAGTTTTGGTTCCAGAGACTGGAGGAAGGGGAAGTGCATATTCAAGCTGTTACAGCATTGCAGAGGAGTTGGGGGTTGCCAAGAACATGGTGGTGGTCCTGGGTGGGCTCCGTAGTAGGAAATGAGCACATACTATGTGCCTTCAGGGTGTTATCTACCAGGCAAGATGCTTCACATCCATATACACCTAACTGCATGCTGGGAGGCACTTTCCATCTTAGCCTTGGTCAGGTTATTACCAGTCCCTGAAATGCTCAGTATTAAAGTTGTGACTTGTTAGAGCATCTGTGGGCCAGGCCTAAACCTCTAGTTGTAGTGCTATGTGGCATTTTCTCCACTAATGGCCATGGGAAGAAGAAAAAGTGGATTATGTGACAGTTAGTTAGTTAGTTAGTTAGTTAATAGGGCAAATAACATTAATCCTGTCTTCCAAAGGAATCAAGCAGCTTAACTCTGTCCCAGGACATATTAGTTAATGACTTCCTAGCCTTCTTACCTACTTGATGGCTTAGTCAAGAGAGGACCCAAACATACATCTGATGGCTGATTTGACATCTCACTCAGATGTCTAACAGGCATTTCAAACTTAGCACGTTACAGACAGAACTCTGAATTCTCCCTCCCTTTTCGTAAACTGGCTCTTCTCTTATTTTTCCTTCTCTGGATAGATGATGTTCCCAACCCCGTCCACTTTTCACAAGCCAAGACCTAGGACACATCCTTAACTCTTCCCTGCTTCACCCCTTACCTGTACCTACCAGTGGCTCTCCCACCAAAACCGTCCCCACATTCCCATTTCATGAACATCACTACTATAGTCTGCCTTACTTCCCTCCCTGCTATTTACCTGACTCTACCAGCAAGCCAGGCTGGGCTTTTATTATTATTTTAAAAATATTTTATTTATTTATTTGATAGAGAACATGAGTGGGGAGGAGGGACAGAGGGAGAGGGAGAAGCTGACTCCCCGCTGAGCTGGGATCCTGACTCGGGGCTCGATCCCGAGACCCCAGGATCATGACCTGAGCCGAGGCAGACACACACCCAACCAACTAAGCCACCCAGGTGCTCCCAGGCTGGGCTTTTAGAACCCCAAAGCAACTTATATAACTGATTTGCTCCCAATCTCCCATGGCTTCCCACCTCCCTTAAATTTATTTTTTTATTTTTATTTTTATTATTTTTTAAGATTTTATTTATTCGACAGAGAGAGAGATCACAAGTAGGCAAAGAGGAAGGTGGGGGTGTGGGGGGGAGCAGGCTCCCTGCTGAACAGAGAGCCTGATGCTGGGCTCAATCCCAGGACCCTGTGATCATGTTTTGAGCCGAAGGCAGAGGCTTAACCCACTGAGACACCCAGGTGCCCCCCATCTCCCTTAGATTTAAATCCTAACTCTTTTTTTTTTTTTTTAATCCTAACTCTTTACCCTAACATCCAAGGCTCACGTGGGCCCTCTGAGGGCCCTGCCTGTTTCTCTGACCTCCTCTCCTGCCGCTCTCCTCCTCTGGCCGCATGCCTCTTGCCTCTTGCCTCTTGCCCCCCGCCCCAGGCTCTATCTCTCTACCAGGTCAAGTTTGCCGCTACTTCAAGACCTTGGCACTAGCTGGTTTGTTGAAGTGAGGGGAGCAGGGAGCTTGGAGTGTTCTTTCTATAGATAACAGTAATAATAATAACAGCAACTATGTATATATCCTTAGTTTATGTCAGGCACCGTTCCAAGGACCTAAACTCATTTAATCCTCACACCAATGCTCTGGGATGGATACTGTTGTTTGGGGCTGAAGAAACAGGGATAAAGAGAGGTGAAGTATTTGCTAAAGGTCACATCCTGTCTGAGACCGGCTTCCCTGAAAGCAGGCTCTGAGGCAGAGATCTGCATCTGGGAGGTGTGTTGGAGACCAACCCTGGTTAAAACCCCCTTAGGTAGGTGAGAGCACCAGGACTGGGGGAGGGAGAAGTTGAACTGTGACACGAGATCTCGGTGGACCCTTCAAGGCCCTGGAGAGCGGAATTGTCCTGCATTGGAGGCCAAGGAGTCAGGCCTTTATATTCCTGCGTGGATGACTCCTCAGCTGCCAGACTGCCTGGGCGAGGGTTATATCTTTAAGCTAAGGGAGCTCTCTTCACTGGAGAAGGACTTCTGGAAACTGCAACTGCTAAGCAGCCAACACTTTGGGCACCGGAATTATGAAAGCCCCAGCCCCAAAAGGAGAGTTTGAGCAGTGGGTCACCATCCCCAGGACACACTGTGCCTTAGTTTCTAGTTCTGCGTAACAAGCTACCCTCACATTTAAGGATCAAAATAACAAATAGTTATTATCTCATCGTTTCTGTGGGTCGGCAATCCTGGGATGGCTTTGCTGAGTGCCTCTAGCTCAGGATGTTAAAGCATAAATTGTTCTAGCACCTATTAATGTGGTAAGGAAGACTTCAGTCCAGACTCTTGGAATAGGTGTCCGGACTATCCCTAGGTAAGAAAGCTTGGGCTCAACTCCAAATCCAGCAAAGACTGCTGGGAACTTGTAGCCAACAAGTGGAATGAGGGGGTTAGTGGATGAAAAAAAAGATATTACTAAGAGGAGACACCAAGGGTAGGGTGATTTTTGCTAAACTAACAGGATTCTTGCTGAAGGCGGGCCAGGGTGATCAGATATCAAGGGTGGAGAAGGAAGAATATGATCAGATACCAAGGGTGAGGAGATTCTTGCTAAACTTACTTAGTAGAATTCTTATTATACTTGGGCTATGCAGGCCCGGCAAGGACAGGGAGCCAAGGTCAAGGCCTCATTAAGGAAAGGGCTCAGAGGAGGCTGACTGAAGTTTGTACAAGCGGAGTGTCTTTGTCACGGTCTCTCACGAGGTTACGGTCAAAGCTGTTGGCCAGGGTGGTGGTCTTACCTGACAGCTTGACCTGGAGGAGGGGAAGGATTCTAGGAAGAAGGCAGAGTAAGAAGCACCAGGAAATCTGTCTCCCCATTTAGTGGACAATTGTACTGTCAGAATGTGTCTGATGTAACTGTTTTGGAACTCGGAAGTTTGCTGAGCGCTCTGCAGGGAAGACCCGGAGAGTAAATTACCTTCACTTTGATCAATTTCAGCTGTTAGCCACCATAGCAACTACCCATCCCCCAATGGCTTATAACTGTACCTTTAGTTTTCTGCATGACACTGATACGTTTAAAGAAAAAGATTGTTAATGTGAAAACTAGTATTACTGTATCTTCGGTTTGTGATTCCACACTTTGTTTTCTATATAATTTAGGAGAATAGTGAATTTAAAAGAATTATTCATTTGTTTTGGGGCACACAATGTATAAAGATGATATTTTGTAACATCAGCAATCAAAAGGGGTAAGGACAGAGCTATAAAGGAGCAGAGTTTTTGTATGTTATTGAAGGTATAAATTTAAACGAGAGCATTATAAATTTAGAATCTTAAATGTAATCCCATGGGAACCACAAAGAAAATAGCTGTATAATATACACAGAAGGAAATGGGAAAGGAATTTAAACAACTCACTACAAAAAATAAACTAAACAGAAAAGAAGAGAGTAAGGCAGGAAATGAGAGACAAAAGAGTTACAGGACATATGGAATACAAATAGCACTATGCCAGGAGTAAGTCCCTCTTGATAAGTAATTAAGTGTAATAAATTTAACTTGCTATTCAGAAGACAAAGATTGGCAGAATGGGCAAACACACAACCTAACTCTATGCAATCTGTAAGACTCACTTGAGATCCAAAGGCACTATCAAGTGGAAAGGGGAGGATAGAAAAAGATATTCCAAGCAGTAGTCACCAGGAGAGAGCAGAGGTGGCCATATTAATATCAATTGGTTTTATTTATTTATTTACTCATTCATTTATTCATTTATTTATAAAGATTTATTTATTTATTTGAGAGAGTGTGCACAAGTGTGAGCATGAGGGCAGGGGCAGAGGGAGAGGAAAAGAGAATTTTTTTTTTTTGAGGATTTTATTCATTTATTTGACAGGCAGAGATCACAAGTAGGCAGAGAGGCAGGGAGAGAGAGAGGAGGAAGCAGGCCCCCCGCTGAGCAGAGAGCCCGATGCTGCGGGGCTCGATCCCTGGACTCTGGGATTCTGACCTGAGCCGAAGGCAGAGGCTTTAACCCACTGAGCCACCCAGGCACCCCAGGAAAAGAGAATCTTAAGCAGACTCCATGCTGAATGCAGAGCCTGACACAGGACTCCGTCTCATCACCCCGCGATCATGACCCTGAGATCACGACCTGAGCTGAAACCAAGAGTCAGTAGCTTAACTGACTAAGCCATTCAGGCACCCCAAAGGAGGATTTATGTAGTAAGAATAGTCTCAAAACAGCACAAAGCTCTAATAATTATAAACATGTATGGCATCTAATGAAGACCGTCAAAATATATGAAGCAAACACTGATAGAATTGAAGGGAGAAATGGATAGTTGTACAATAATAGTTGGAGACTTCAATACTGCGCTCACGATAATGGATAGAACCAGACAGAAGGTAAGCAAGGAAAGAGAGGACTTAAAACAATAAACCAACCAGAAGACAACAGACACACAGACACAACAGAACACTATCCAACAGACAAAGCACACACATTAGTAAGCCCACAGCAGGGATAGGAAAAAGCCACACAAATGGTTGCTCCCCATTGTATGTGTGACAGAGAAAGAGAATACCCTTCTTCATCTTACCATTAGATTTGATACAAAGCCATCTTTGCTTGGAAGAATATTCACGCACAGCTATCCCCTCTGTCGACAGATTTGCCTGAAAGCAAGCTATAAGAGCTAGTGCCCCTCAGGGAAGGCTGTGCTCAGTTGACCCTCAGGAGAGTTGCAAGCCCGTATTTGTCCAGTTCAAGCTCCTTGTCACACTTTCCTTGACGGGAAGACACCTCTAAGTGGCCCTTCAGAAGCATTTTGCCCAGAGAGAAATACAAAGGCAAGGGAATCATTGAAGAGAATGCCCCTTTCATTTGGTTTTTGTGCAAGGAAACAGTGGGGTGGGTAGATTATGTGTGTGAACTTTTGTGATTAACAACCCAATGCAGAGCACAAGGGCCCAATGGGTCATTAGGGGATCTGTGCGGCCCCAGGAGTGGGTGACTTTGACCCAGTTTGGCTCTGGCTCTGGGAAGCAAGTATTCTGTGCCCCCAGAGGCAGCAGGTTCCCTAGGTGACCGGGGCTTGCTATTCAGGAAATGTCCGCAAAGTCATGGCATCTGCGGCGCGGGGCTTCATGGCCATGTCGTTTCTTCTGCTGAAAGGATCTTTTTTAAGAAATGAGAACCACAGAGAAACTGCCTCCAAGTACCCTTGAGGAGCTTCAAGGTGACTCAGAAGAAGGCCTCAGGGAGCCAGAAAGCGTGAAGGTCAAATCCTAGGTCTACCTATCAACTGCCCTATGACTTGAGATGCTTGATTTCCTCCTGGCCCTAAGTTTGTTTCAGTGGGCCTGGGACAGGATTGGGAAATCTATATTTTTAACCAGCCCCATATGTGACTCATACTAGAAATCTGATATGAGCCTCTTTCCTATAAGCTGTATTGGCTTGTGTTTGTTACGCATGGACCCTGGAGACAGACTCTCTGGGTTACTTCCAGCTCCACCACCTTGGGATTTGAGTATCCTTGGGCAAGTTATTTCACCTCCCTGTCTCGATTTCCCCATTTGTACAATGGGGAGAATAGTAGTACCTGTCTTATGGGGTTATTGTGAAGATCAAGTATGCTAATTGTGGAAAGCCTTTAGCATGGAGCCAGTTACAGCAAACACTGTGTTCTTCTTAATACTCCAGAGCCACAGACCATTATCCACAAGTGCAAAATTTAAACAAATTCTAAAAATCAAAAAGTTTTTCCCTGGGACGCCTGGGTGGCTTAGTCAGTTAAGTGTCTGCCTTGGTTCAGCTCAGGTCATGATCCCAAGGATCAAGCCCCACCGTCAGGCTCCCTGCTCAGCGAGGAGCCTGCTTTTCCCTCTGCCTGCCGTCCCCCCTGTTCCTGTGCTCATGCACACACTCTCTCTCTGCCAGATAAATCTTAAAACAGTTTTTCCCTGAAGTTTGGCACAAATCAATGTGGCAGCGAAACCTGATCTGAACTGATGGGAGGCTACTGATAGTCTTTATCCCTTATTCTGTGCATATTAAAATTTAATTGAAGAAATAGCAACACATTTGTTTATGGAATGCTGCCTCACAGCCCCAGTAGGTATTACATGATATACTGTGTATTTGTGTATTTCCTAAAAATCTGAAATGCTCTCAACCTCAAAACACAGGGGTTGCAGAGAAGGGAACTCAGAGCTACAGCTTATTATCTTTCCTTGGCCAGAGACAACTTGCCCTCTGGTGGTTGCAGTGGAGAACCACACCACAGGAGGGCCGGAGGAGAGGGAAAGGCCCCATCAGAGACTCATCCTCTCGCCCACAGTCCAGAAGAAAAATTCTTTTTAGAGGACATTTCTTAAATGTCTTCAAGGGCTGCTGTATGCGCAGAGAAGACATCACTTCAGTCAAAAAAATTAATATTCAATTTACTGAAGTAATAAAAACATTACATCAGCTTTTTTAAAGTTCGGTTTCTAGATCTTATATTTATAAAGCTAGCAAATGTTAATTACTTTTAATTAGGGGAAATTTGAATATCCAATTTATAAACAAACTCCTTTAAACATTTCCTATTGCATTTTTGTATTTAATATGTTCGATTTCCTTTTCAGAGTACTTTAATTATCTGGCCAACCAAACTCAAACAAAATACTATTAAAAGTTCCTGTAGTATATATATAGTTTCCAGTACCATATAGAGAGAAATGATTGCAATTTAAAACTGATTACTAAGTCTAAATTGATTACTCACTCACGCACTCCAGACTGGAATCACAAATTACCTTCCCCAAGTTAATTTTTAAG